GAATTTTTGGGGATTTTCTTATCAGATGATAATGGTTACCTTACACTACTACAATCTGATAATACATATACTTCCAGTTCACATTCTTTAGTTAGATAAGTATAACATTAGTCTTGGGATGAATATTGAAAGTACAAGATAATTTTCCACAAAATATAATTTTAATGGTTTGTCTTTTAAAAAAGAACGGTATTGAAGGTTTGGGCATGACAATTCATATATCGGTTGGAGTCTAGGTCCACTAAAGTAATGAAATTAAAATCATTAAGGCAAAGACTCACTCCTAACGAGAAACTGGATATGCTAATATAAGGTTAGTAGATACAAATGTAAGAGAATATATATGGTAGGAGAATTAACTGGATAGACCATAAAATTGTAGGGAATGAAATCATTTTTCTGAAGTTTAATTTTATCCTCTCTAATTATACTGTTGAAATTGGCATTTATAATGGCTTGAGAATCAAGCTCAACATGAAAAGGAAGAATTAACAATATCTCTAAGGAGGTAAAGTATCAGGTTAACTCTATTTCGGATGATTAGGTTTAGGAGAGCTCCCATTATAAATCTGATTAAATGTTGTCCGTCAAAAGGGGGTAATGGATATTTATATTCAGGCAAAGCATTAGATAGTGGTGTTAATATGTGAGTAGCTTCAAAACCATTTGGGCTTTTATCACACAAGAGGAATAGTGCTTGTCCAATAGAGGAGAAGTTTGTCGGCGTCATATTTTTTGTGTATGAACAAGGTCACTGGTTATAAATCATCCTCGTGGATTTATGCTTGCCAAGAAAATTTTTTGGACACCTTTTTCTGGTATTAGCATTTGCAGGCATTTCTAACAAAAAGGACAGCATGTGGCCAAAAAAGATTAGCAATGAGAAATAATAGAGAAACTTTTTCAACCGACTCTTGCTATATCTTACTTTTTTCTGGCATTTGCCAATCCCAAATGCTCTCATTCAATCTCAACTAGGTCCCTTTGCCAACAACCGAATGTCAGAGAGATCTACTATTTGCGAGTATTTAGATCTGCTTAGGGCTTCAGATGGGGAGAGGAAGTGATGCGGTGGTGATTTTAAGCTAGGTAGTCCCCTTAGGAGTAATTTATCCATTTTGTTTCTAGTAATAACTCTTTGTGCTCTCATAAGTAGGTGGTTCTTGTAGAAAGAAAAAGCATTGAATGATAATTATCCCATTAGAAAGCTGTGAAGCTTCTTTTGTTCTTCTCCTGGATTGTGAAACCTAAAATCTTCTTGTTAGATATCATCTTTCCGACGATCCACTACATCAGTTGGTATCAGAGCCTGGAGCTTGTGAGATCAGATGAATGGCGGAGAGAAGGTTCGGCTGTCGACGAACGTTTGAAGCCGTAGAATCGAGGGCGGTTCGACGAAGATCGACGCCTGAATTAAGATGGGCGGTCGACTGAAGATCAACCACCTAAAAAGAAATGGACGGTCGACGACGATCGACCCGGAAGAAGATGTGCGGTTACGACGATCGACGTCATGATCCCTTGGGTAGCCTCAAGTGGAATGCAATCGAAACTTGATCGAATGGATGATTTAATGTGTTAATATTAAATGCATTCGGTTTGGAGAGAACTATGAGCAGATCGGCAACGCTATTTACCGGCATCTGTCGCCCTCTGTTCCTCCACACGCACGAACAACCAAACACATGCTTCCACGCGATCCTTTCTCGGTCGCCTGAATTGATTTCATGAAGAAAATCATCACCATTGTCCGAGCAGATCCGCCTTCAATAACCCATCCAGCATCTCACCTTCGCTCCATGATCCCAGTTCAATCCCCGCGATTTCCCACCCGATGAACAACCGCGGCTACCTCTTACCGCTCAAGCCAAACCTGGCTGGCCTCCAAAACTCCAACCGCCCTACGACCTGCCGCCACTCCGGTAATCCGACGTCGCCGACATCAGCGCGATCCAGGTCTCGCCTGACCAAACTCCACGCACACCTTCAGCCTTCCGATTCGCCGACCCACGCGTGCGTGGCTTCGAACCGTCTTTACCGATCGTACTGTCCAGGGAAAACGTTATCCCTTTCGATCTCGACGTCCTGAACTCTGTCAATCACCTCTAATTGTGCTTCCTTACCTGAGGCCGTCGGCAGGACGGATATGGCGGACCTACGTGGACTGCGTATTGAGAATCTAGAACTCCACGAAGTAAATCAATCTACTACATCTCGAGTACCTAGTGGCCATGGAGAAAGTTATGGACAGGGCGACCAAGAGTAGTCGTGACCTGAGACATCGGACGGCAGGTAAACGTCCATAACGTCACTGGATGGAATCACGATGCCTCTGAGTGTTTTCGCACATTCTCTCATCTGTGCTCTGCCGTCACTCCGACCTCGACATCCTTGGAAGGGCGATGGTGGCATTTTCAGTTCGCCCAATCGAGTCACTTACAAGTATTGATGGGAAGGCGCTCAACTGGGAACTTGGTATGTGCACGTCAATTTTGGTTTGAATGATGCGTGACATCGATAGGTGGATGCCTTCACGTGTGGTTTTGCTAAACAGATGTTATGATTTGATGGGTTTTTTTTGAAGAATGGAGATTTTGTGATAGGGGATGGAGATAATGTGGGAAGAGGCTGCTGAGGATGAGTCTGATTATCCCCAATGTTGCCTACCTGTAACCATTATGCTATGTTTGAAATGGTGCTTATGCATAGCCTTCAGAAGTTGAATGATAGGTTATGGACATGTTGGATCGCATGGTGAGCAATGGCCCAAGCGTTGGATTTCTTTTACTTACGGTATTTTTGAATCCATGGGATGTGGTGAGATGGGGGGAATGTGGATGGAGGTTTTACAATTTTTATGTTGGAGATGATCAAGAATGGGTTTCATCTGTATGTTGTTACCGTCTAATTCTCTGCTATATTGGTTTCTGCAAAGCTGGGAGGATTTGGATGAAGTTCTTTAAAGCCTGTGGGCTTCATTGGTGGCGGACAAAGGAAATCTATCTTGGATTTTGTGTTGAGTCTATAACATTTTTTATTCAGAAGCCCTTTTTGAAAATGGTTGAGGTGACAAAGCAATTTCAGTTTGGGAGCACTTGAAAGTAAGCAATGGAAATTCTCCAGCGATCAGGTGACTTTTTAGGCGTTTTCATTATGGATTATTCAAGAGTGGGTACATGGGCAAGGCTTTGCAGGCCTGAATGTGGGCCGAGGAGATATGGAGGAGAACAATTATAATGTGTTTATTCCATATTCCTTCTAGGATTAATGGCTTCGTGCAAACTAGAGTCTAAAGATGAAAATGCTATTCAGGATTTTTCAGGGAGAGTAATTCCCATCTGGCTGCTCCCTTACTGGTTCAATATATACATACTGATGCTGGTATTTTTGTAAGGATTGAAAGGTTCCAAGAAGCTTAAGTTTTTTGCTGAAAGTAATATGGTGGAGAAGGGATTCATAGCTTGACATGGTAACTTACAGCGTCTTTAATCGATGGCTTCTGCCTGAGATAAAAATTTGACCTTGCTCTTTTGAAATTTTGAACCAAGTTTTTTTTCTAAGTGGGTTTGCAGCGGAATGTGTGTTCCTGCATCATGGTTTCTCATATTCTGCGGCCTCTTCTGCATATTCTTTGAAAACCAACACATTGGTCCTTTGATTACCATTTGTGACTCTCCTATAATTGAGTCTTCGGGCTTGCTTGTTTGGATAAAGGTGAAACTTCTGTGATGAGATAGCATGATAATGGCTATTGCAAGTTGGAAAAAAAGTTTCAGGCAAGGGTGATACTGCTGCACCAGAGGTTTCAATGGAAAAAAAAGTTGCCAATTTCGGAAATAGTGAGAACAAAATCTTCAATCCAGGAATCTGTCCTCTGCAACCACCTCTCTTTCAATAATGCGTCTCGACGGAGTCGAGCCTTTTTATGCTAGGGGAGAATGATGCGGTGCATTTTAAGCTAGGATAGTCTTTAGGAGTACTTTATCCATTTTGTTCTAGATTACTCTTTTGCTCTCATAAGTAGGAGGTCTTGTAGAAGAAGAAAGCATTGAATGATATTATCCCCATTAGAAAGCTTTGAAAGCTTATTGTTCTTCTTCCCTGGATTGGGAAAATCCTAAAATCCTTCTTGCAGGTATCATCTTCCGACGATCCACTACATCAAGAAGGCACCAAGTGAACGTCAAAGAGTGAGGCAGAGGGTTCAGCAGCTGACGCGGGGAGCTGGAATTGAATTGGCAATGCACCAGGAGAAGCTCTATAGGAGGCGAGGGGTAGAGCCAGTGGAAAAAGGAAGGGAGGCGAAGGAGAGCAAGCAGTGAGGGGGAGGAAGGAGGAGAAAGGAGACAGGTGAAACTTATGACTACCCCAGTTGGAGATGAGCTCTGCCAGCTTCAATTAGTTATTTGGAATCTTATGAGTTATTCTATATATTAATGTGTCTTTGTTTATTCTTAGTTTTCACTTCATGCTAAACCGTGGCTGTCGCTTGTCTTCAATAGATCAAGCTCATTTGTTAAAGTTTTGCATTCTTATTAAAAATGCTTGTCTAGGGGTGTTTAAAATTGACACGACCTGAAATCTGACCCGAAAAAATTCAAGTTCGGATCAACCCGTTTGTAAAACGGGCGGGTTCGAGTTCTGATTTTTGACCTGTTTGTTAAACATGTTGGATTCGTGTTGACCCGAAAACCCGTGGGTTGACCCGACTAAACGGGTCGTGTTCGGGTCAACCCGTTTACGCTCGAATCAGCTCAGGTTAGACCCGAACCCAACCCGTTGACCCGAATTGACACCCCTATATCTTACAGCTGTTTTGCTCTATGCTGAAAAACACTGCTTCCTTGTATTTGTAATGAGCTAATCTTCATAGGAGTGATCTATGTTTATCTCAAAGTCATAGAGATGCCTGACCATTTGCATTATAAGCCCGTGCCATTCACCACCATATGCACATTATAAACAGAAACAATTGAAGCTTATACTTCTCTTTTTACAGGCACTTCATTCAATTGGTTTTCACTGCTGAGCCTTCTGGGAGGCTTCTAAAATATAATTCGGTCACAAAAGAAACCACTGTCCTCTTGCGAGACCTTCAATTCCCTAATGGTGTCTCCCTAAGCAAGGACAGATCTTTCTTTGTATTCAATGAAGGCAATCGTGGAAGGTTAGCATACCTTCCTTATCATTTTCTTCAGCTGATATGCATCTTAGGCTTCATTTGGGACAGTTTTCTTTTTGCTTCTTAAAACAGCTTTCAAGTGCAAAAATTAATTTTTTTGCACAAAAAAGCTGTTTTAAGAAGCAGAAAGAAAGCCGTGTCAAACTAAGCTATAAGAGGCTGAAAAAAGCTTTTTTGTCTGTTAAAAATTTTGCGGCAATGCAGGTTGAGCAGATACTGGCTGAAAGGTGACAAGGCAGGGACGTCGGAGGTTTTCGCCCAGCTTCCTGGGTTTCCAGATAATGTGAGGACAAATGAAAAGGGTGAATTCTGGGTAGCAATACATTGCCGCCCCACCAGACTTGCCTATCTCCTAAGCAGATATCCTCGGTTATCGAAGTTTCTGCTAAAGCTTCCAATTCCAGCAAAAATGCAGTTTTTGTTGCGTATTGGTGGAAGACTTCATGCGATTATTGCAAAGTACAGCCCTGAAGGAAAGCTGCTTGAACTGCTGGAGGATCAGCAAGGAAAAGTAGTTAGAGCTGCGAGTGAAGTTGAAGAGAAGGATGGAAAGCTATGGATTGGATCTGTCTTAATGCCATTCATAGCCGTATTTACGTTAGAGTAAAATGAGTAATGTTTATCTCACCTGTTGTATCTTTGATATCATGAAATACCATGTTATTAAATGTGCTATTACTATAGAACTGCCTTTCCTTTATGTTTTTCCATGTAGTGATTGAAGACTTTGGAGAGATTATTACGTGCGGTGTCTGGACCATCCGGAGTGAGTTCGGACGCACCACATCACCCGGATGCACTGGGCCCCGGGTGATGTGGCACATCCAAATTCACCTCTGGACGAATCCGGACGCCACACGTAATAATTTTCCCATGCAGAGAGGATGAGTAAGATCAGTGTAGCTTTTATGTTGGAACTAATCTCCACTGAAATTGATGCCTTTCTCATGCTATTCATTGCATTATTATTGTTTTTTGTTTAAATTTTGTTTAAAATATTATAAATTTATATTTTTCACTATATTTGCATGATGTTAACAGATTTTTTTTTATTATTATTATAGATATTTTTTTTCAATGTTTAGAAAGTGACAATTAAAAATTTATAGGGTTAATTTTATCTTTTGATTTGGTAATATTAACATATGTAGTTATAATTTGCAAATTATTTTATATTTTCCAAATTAGTTAACATGTCATTTTTTTCTTCTCCTTTTTCATTTT